AAAGGAAAGCATTTTAGATGAACATACCATGACACTCATGGTATACAACTGTCTACTGGGCAAGCCTACTTTCTTAGCTAAAGTAAATTCCAAAGGGAGAAATCTCATAAAGAAAAAAAAAAAAAAAAAAAAAAAAAAAAAGACAACAGATAAGGGGAAAGTAGAACCACTCACTAAATTTAGTTTGGTTGGAGGAAAAAACAAGTTTATTAGTGAGAAAGTTACATATTTTCATTGCTTTACTATAATGCTAGTAATTTGTAAGGATGCATTTGCAATCCAATCCACATTACTACATGGTGGATGACTGCTGTGGAAAATGCTTCTACGTAACAATACGTGATAAAAATGCTTTCAAAAGTTTGGAGTTTAGTGCTCACTCCGGTGCATATATACTAATATTGGAATGATATAGAGAAGATTAGCATGGCCCCTGCAGAAAGATGACATGCAAGTTCGTAAAGTGTTCCATTTTTTAAACAATAAAAAAGTTTGGAATTTAAAATGTATATTAAACTATATTTAGGGATTACTGTCTTTCATTCACAGGAAAATAAGGTCCAATGCCCTTTAGCACAGTAGTGTGAAAGAGCTATATCCTTAAGATATCCTCAGAAGCCAGGAATTATTCAAGGTAGAAGGCCATAATAATTACCCTGGGATACCAGGACAATAACTAGCTGAAGAGCTAGGCTCTATGGAAAAATAGGCCAATTTCAGCATTTTGACACATGTTAAGCTGAACAAAATCTTGGTTTCTCTTTTCAGATTACCTCCCATGGTACACATGCCCCACCCTTTGGCTTAAAAATACACTATGCAGCCAAGGAAACTAAGCTTATGGGATAGAAAAGAATAAATATTCAACACAAAATTTTAAAGCATTATTGTAGGCCAGTGGTTTCCAACATTTTGCCCAATTTGACATAATTCTCACAATAAACCACTTAATGTGGAAATAAGCTTTGTACATTCTCAGAGAGATTATGATAGCACTGCAGCCCACCCCCCATAGATATATACAAGTACAAATACCCATACCTGCTGTATTAGGTTAAATAGTGTCTCCCCAGAATCTCAGAATGTGACTTTATTTGGAAATAGACTCTTTGAAGATGTAATTATTTAAGATAAGAACTTACTGGATGAGGGTGGACCCTAAATCCAGTCGGTTACATCCTTAAAGGAAGAGACACACACAGGGAAGAATACCATGTGAAGACACAGACCGAGTTTGGAGTGAAGTATTTATATACTGAAAGCCAAGGACTGTAGGTGAACACCTGCAGCTAAGAAAAGCCAAAGAAGGATTCTTCCCTAGAACCATCACAGGCAGCATAGTTCTGCCTAATACCTTGATTGTAAACTTCCAGAACTGTGAAAGAATATTTGTTATTTCAAGCCACACAGTTAGTGCTAATTTGTTACAGCAGCCCTAGAAAAGAAACACATCTATAAACATATAGACCTAGGAATGACTGTTTTTGAACGACTTGTAATGTCTGTTTCACATCTCTCCTTGTAAAAATGATACATGTAGTAAAGAAATATACTCCAAGCAATATAATTTCTTCTTAGAATTTTCTGAATTTTCCAATTTTCCTACAATGAACTTTACTATTTTTGTAGCAATAAAACAAAATGTCACTTAAAATTACAGTTCTCTTTCTTTCTCTTTTATTAGGACTTCAGTTAAGAAAAGGAAATGAAAGGCATCCAAATTAGAAAAGAGAAAGTCAAATTGCCTCTGTTTACTAATGATATGATCTTACAGATAGAAAAACCCCTAAAGACTCCACCAACAAATCTTAGATTTGATAAATAAATTACAGTATAGTTTTAAGATACAAAATCAGTGTACAAAAGTCAGCAATGTTTTTATATGTGTACACCAAAAACTGTCAAGCTAAGAACCAAAAGGCAATCCCATTTATAATAGCTCAAAAAAATAAAAAAAAAACACCTAGGAATATATTTCAGGCATCCTCAAACTACAGCATGCAGACCACATGCAGCCCACCTAGGACATTTATCCAGCTTGCCGGGTGTTTTTGCCGCTGCCGCCTGTCCTGCTTAGCAGCCAACTCATCCCTGGGCCCACACTCCAGCCCTCCAACGGTCTGAGGGACAGTGAACTGGCCTCCCATTTAAAAAGTTTGAGGACGCATTAGGTTATTAAGTAAGCTATATCCAATTTCCTTAAGTATTAAGTTTGACAGTTGATATCTCTGACATTTTACTTTGATGCTTTTTTTGTTTTTAAATTGTGAAGGTACATCCTCATTGTTCAAACACACATTTTAATATCTGATTATCTCACAAAAGAAATTTTTTAGAGCACCTTTTGTGAAACTATGGGTTAATCAAAAATCTATGTTATTTCTTAATATGAGTGCCACCATGGAACCAATTCAGTAAAGAAAGCTTGAAATATTAATGAAGTGTTTGGGTAGGAAGGGGCTAATGAATACACAGTACAACATTTCTCTGGTTTGAGAAGTTCCATTCTGGTGATCTCAATGTTGTAAATGAGCCATGTGGCTGACCTAAGACCAAGGTGGATAATGAGTTGAAAGCTGTAATAGAAGTGAATGTATCTTAACCTATGTGTGAATTAGCAGCAAAGTTTGATGGTAGTATTCCAACAACATTGGACCATCTGAAACAAATTGGCAAGGTAAAGAAATTGGATAGATGGGTTCTCTCTGAATTAAATGAGTGTCAGAAGAGAACCATCTGTCCCGAAGCTTGTCTTTGTTGCCGTGACATAAAGGTGAACCCTTTCTACACTATATTGTTATGTGTGATAAAAATGGATTCTTTTTGACAATCACAAGCCTTCAGCACAATGGCTGGATAAAGATTAAATGCAGAAAAGTAGTCCAAAGTGCAACCAAATGGATGCCATGATGAGGATGCTTGCAATTAAGCAGCTGAGATTTGTCAACAGAGACAGGCCAATCCTCTTGCAAGACAATGTTGTCACACAAACTTGGAAACTGTTATCCACCATATTCACCAGAATATGTACCAACTGACCACCACTTCTTCCAGGCTTTCAACCACTTCTAGCAAGGAAAAATATTTAATTACCAGCAAGCTGTGGAAAATGACTTTTGCGATTTCATCTCCACTCACCCTCCAGGCTTCTTTGCTGCTGTCATACACAAGCTAGTGTTAAAATGGCAAAACAGTGTCAAGAGTTTTGACTAATTGTACTGCTTCTTTTTTGAAATATAATAAACTTTTGATTCAACATAATTTTTTATTAACTTTAAAAGTTAATTGTAACTTTTGATTTGACATAATTTTTATCCAAGGAGGTAAAAGATCTCTACAAGGAAAAACATAAAACACTGATGAAAGAAGTTGTACATGACACAAACAAATAGAAGAATATCCATGCTCATGGACTGGAAGAATTAAATTGTTAAAATGACTGACCGTACTGTCTGAAGCAATCTACAGATTCAATGCAATTCCTCTCAAAATACTAATACCATTTTTCACAGAATTAAACAAAACATTCTTAAAATTCATATGAAACCAAGAAACAGTCTGAATAGCCAAAGCAATCATAAGCAAAAAGAACAAAGCTAGAGGCATCATATTACCTATTATACTACAAGGCTATAGTAACCAAAATACTAGTTCTGGCATAAAAACAGACATATAGATCAATAAAACAGAATAGAAAACCTAGAAATAAAACCACATATTTATATCCAACTAATCTTTGACAAAGTAGATAAGAACATATACTGGTAAAAGGATATCCTCTTTTTATAAATGTTGCCAGAAACATTGGATTGCCATATGCAGAAGAATGAAACAAGATATCTCTCTCTCCCCATACATAAAAATTAACTCAATATAGAGTATAGACTTACATGTAAGACCTGAAACTATAAAATATATTAGAAAAAAACCTAGGGTAAACTCTCATGGACATTTGTCTAGGCAAAGAAGTTATGACTAAGACTAAAGAAGTACAGGCAACAAAAACATAAGCATATGAATGGGACTTAATTAGACTAAAAATCTTCTGCACAGCAAAAGAAATAATCAACACAGTGAACAGACAACGTGCAGAATGGGAAAAAATGGTTGTAAACTATGCATCTGAAAAGGAACTAATAACCAGAACTTAAGACCTCAAACAACCCAACAATAAAAAAAATCATATTAAAACGTGGGCAGAAGACATGAATAGACATTTTTCACAAGACATAGAAATGACCAAAAAGCATATGAAAAAACGTCCAAATCACTAGTCAGCAGAGAAATACAAATTAAAACCACAATGAGATACCATCTTCTACCACTCCGAAATGACTATTATTAAAAAAAAAAATACTAGATGTTTGTGAGTGTGAGGAGAAAAAAGAATGCTTATGCTCATAGGAATGTAAATCAGTATAACCTCTATGGAAAACAGTATGGAGATTTCTCAAAGAACTAAAAACAGAACTACCATTTGATCCAGCAGTCCCTTTACTGAATATCTACCCAAATGATCTTAAGTCATTGCAGGCTCGGCACCCGTAGCTCAGTGAATAGGGTACCAGCCACATACACTGAGGCTAGTATGTTTGAGCCCAGCCCAGTCCTGCTAAATAACAGTGACAGCTCCAACCAGAAACTAGCCAGGCGTTGTGGCAGGCACCTATAGTCCTAGCTACGTAGGAGGCTGAGGCTAGAGAACCGCTTAAGTCCAAGAGTTTGAGGTTGCTGTTAGCTGTGACGCCACAGCATTCTATCGAGGGTGACATAATGAGACTGTCTCAAAAAAAAAGTCATTGCATCAAAATGATACCTGCACTTGTATGTTTATTGTAGCATTTTTCACAATAGCAACAGATGATGAGGTAAAGAAAATGTGGTACAGCCAGGCATTGTGGCAGGCGCCTATAGTTCCAGCTACTCAGGAAGCTGAGGCAAGAGAATCGCCTAAGCCCAGGAGTTGGAGGTTGCTGTGAGCTGTGACGCGACAGCACTCTACCAAGGGAGATAAAATGAGACTCTGTTTCTAAAAAGAAAAAAAATGTGGTATATATGCATAATGGAATACTTCCTAGACATAAAGAAGAATGAAATTCTGTCTTTTATAACTACTTAGATGGAACTGGAACCCATTGTTTTAAGTAAAACAACTCGGATGCATAATGACAAATACTGCGTATTTTTTATAAGTGGGAGCAAAATAATGTGTGCACATTGAACACAGAGTATGGAATGATAGACAGTGGAGATTCGGAAGGGAAGGAGGTAAGAGGGAGTAGATGATAAATCACTTCATGGGCAAACATACCATACATTATCTGGGGGAATGAATATACTAAAACCCCTGTCTTTCCCACTATATAATATATCTATGTAACAAAATCATACTTGTATCCTATGCAAAGAAGTATATATATATATATATTTTTTTTTTTTTTAAGAGACTTAGGATACATAATAACCAAATATAATCCA